CCGGCTGGACCTCGCCCGGCCCCGGCACCCACCACTACCCAGAGGCCCGCGGCGGCCCGCTCGTCGCGCTCTTCTTCCTGCCCGCGGGGCGCATCTCGTACGATGCGGTCCCCGGTGCGCCGCAGCCGGTTTCCATCTAAGGTGAGAGGCAAGCCTTTTGGCGAGTTGGTGGACGGACTTGATGGTGTGCTAGTGGGTTATGCGCTTCGAAAGGATTCTTCAATGATAGTCTGGGATGTCTTCCAAGAAGCTCACAAGTGGAACATGTGCATTACAAATTGATGATTCTTCATTCGGGTTCGGCAAATGAGACTCTAGAGTGGCGCCTAGTAGCTATCCCCTCCCCGTAGACGTTGTTTCGGCGCACTACTCAACCAGCATGGTGAGGGAGAGCACGGTGCTTCACGCTTGAGCAAGAGGATATTGCAGATAAAAGGGTTCACAAAGAAGATGTCGAACTCTCGCGACGACATCCATCTCAGCTTTCGAATCTTCTGGGGATAGCGACTTGAAGTATGGCGGCGCCGCCAGCTGATGGAGGCGTCTGGGCCAAAAGTACGGATCTTTGTTTGACTTTGCTTTACAATCTGAGCAGTCTATTCTAGGAATACTGCCTACTGGCTCACTTGTTGCTGCGACCCCGTTGTTCCTGTACGCTTGCAAACAACGACCTGCGTATGCTCCCGCATATAGGACGCTGGGGATCAAACTGGTGAGTACTCATATCCACCCGCGACTACCAACCTAACTGGTGCTTTTGGCTTTGGGCATTGCTAGCCTTGTCTTGTATAGTGGTCCATCCTCCATCCGATCCGACCCTGCGCTCGCCGCTTCTGTGTCCTGCGTCGCCACGTTGACCATTATCGCGCTCATTGTCGTGGGGCACCGCTTCACCTTGCGACCTACCTTCGCTCCCCAGCCTCTACATTCTCTTACGCCTGGCTCTCAATGTCGTCAAAAGCCGGTCATACTTTTTGAGACGTGGACTGAAGACTTATGGGCGGGCTGTTGGCAGTTGCCGCCGCCGTCAGATCGATTCTCATTGGCGGGTAAGAGACTCTCGAAAACTGGGCTTTTGCTCGACGAAAAGCTAAAAAAAGTAACATTGGCAAGGAAGTCTTTTCTCGGCAGTATTCCATATTTTCAGTGAGAATTGGGCTCACAGGGCGCCTCCAAACTTGAGCCTCTATATGCTGGGCTGTTGGCAAGACGGCTCGTTTTCCATTTCAATCGCAACTGGAATACACGTATGTAGCCATAAACATGGACACAATCTTTCCTGTCTCAATTATTAAGAAGACGCCAAAGCAATTAGGGTTGTAGGGGGTCTATTCAGTCAATGGGCGGGCTGAGCACGGAGGCCAGTTATCCGTGGCGCAACAAGCGCTTTTGTGTATTGCGCGGGGGTGGGTTGCTGCACCAGGTTCAAACAGAGAGTGAAATTGTATTGCTCGATACGGCTACAGCGTCGCTTACGTCGGCATCCACTCTAGAGGTGCACATCTAGGCGGGTGCCTTTCAAGGTTGTTGTTCTGCGCTGAGCACTACGCATTGAGATTTGCCGATACAAAGCTAGATCTTAGGCTACAAATTGTCAACAGCAACCTTGCCTCTGGGTTGAGAGCAGATGATGAGCCTGACGATGCGGAAACTATGCACACGGAGATGGCGACGCAGCGTTGCCTCGAGCAGATTAACCAGCCTCAAGGTCAAGGAGGATTGGCTGAGCGGCGCGGAGACTAGTAGGACTGTCATTGGGCGCCGAGGACCCAGATTGCAGCAACCAGATGATGAGATGGGCTCCGGCTTTTGGCATGCGAGTGGCTGCCTTGGCCGCAGCGGGGAAGCTGAGTAGGCTATATATCATGGACGACGCCTCCGCCGCCAAGGGGGCGGGGAAAACCGCACATAGCCAGACAACGGTTTGGGTTTGGGTCTGTCAGGGTTGTGCGATGACGGTTTCTTACTTGGGAGGAGAATTGACTGGCTTGATGATAGTTAACTAGGATGTTGAGCACAGTCTGGTCTTGACAAGGTGTATGAACAGAACTCGTAAGCCGTCAGCGGGGTCAAGCGGCTCAATTATGTTCGGTACTTTTTACTTGTCCTTTCACCTCCCCCACTGGGGGCAGCTGGGGAAGCCTGTAAAAGAGGCTTTCTATGGATACTGTAGGTGGGCACCAACAGACATCCCTCGGCCCAATCCATCGAGTTACTGTACTGGCAACGAGAATCGTAAATTCAGTTGTCAGCAAGCACCACATTCCTATTCCTTGGCCAATGATTTGACGGCGGGTGTGTGTGTTTGCGGGGGGAGAGGTTTGACGTTACTCTCCCCCCCCCCCGGTCGAGCCTCTTTGTGGGGAAAACAAATGCGGAGGAGGGGGAGGCGCTTTGACCTGAACTCTTTCGCCTGCCGAGGCAGGGCCCCCCCCCCCGGAAGAAAAAAAAAAACATCTGACGGTGCGGCGCACCTCGGAACACATGGCGGTGGCGTTTTGGACGAAGAAATCTGGCAGCGCGGATCGATGAGCTTTTTTTTTCATGCATCTCATTGTTTTTCTCTTTCTTTTTTTAAACCGAGCATTTTTTTCCTTGACTTTTTGCAGCGTCAAAACACTTCGGTCAAAGCGAAAACCAGAAAGCGGGCCCATTCCCATAGTTAGTAAGCGAGCCAGCCGTATAGAGAAATTGGCAAAAAGAAGCAATAAAAAACTTGTTCCCCGCTCAGCAAAAAAATCGGCCGTCGCCGCCTCCGCCGCCACGAGGGGGGGGCAGAAGCGAGCTGAGGAGGCTCTGCAACTGCAAGCGTAGAGTCTATTCCCCGCCGCCAGTCCGTTTCCGCCAGGGCTTTCCTCCAATGGAAGCACGAGTCGGACCAGCCGAGTTGTGGGGACTCGTCCCTCGCTCCATCGTGTTCGCCTGTTCCTTGAACGAGGGATCGACCGTTTGGTGCATCATGGGCGGTGCGACTTGGTATTCCGGAGCAAGATCAGTTTTTTGGGGCGGGGAGGCTCCTAACTACCTACGGACAAGTTCAAGTCATAATGGAGAGGAGGCTCAACGTTCCCCATTATGCACGGATGCACCGTTCTTTAATCTAGTGCTCTCTGTCTCCCCCATGTCCGTTCCCACTCCTCTATTGTCTCCTTCTCTCTGTTTTTTTCCCCAGCTTTTTTCTTTCCTGATGCAAACCAATTCTGCATCTGTCAAGCAAGGTCGTTGAAGAAGATGCAGACCAAGGGGCTCCTGCTGGCCGCCCAGTTCGTGGTGCTCGGCGCCGCCGCGTACGGCCACAACGCCTACGTGCCCAGACAGGACGGCGAGATTGTGTCGTCCAACTGGCACAACTTTACCAATACTTCGACAACGTCGACAACCTCGTCCACGACGACCACGACGACCACCACAACCACCACCACCACCACCACTTCCTCCTCGTCCTCCAAGACGACGAGCTCAACGACGCTCTTGACCACGCTGACAACCACCCTGTCCACCACGGACAAGGAATCAACCACCGAGGATCCCTCCAGCAGCAGCAGCAGCTTCAAGTCTCTCTCGACGACAAACTCCACCACCACGCCGTCGACCACTCTCACCACCGCCACGGGCAGCAGCCGCATCAACAGCACCACCACCGGTCCCAGCACCACCCGGCACAACACCACCACGACCGACTACCGCATCCCGCTGCCGACGAGCCTCTTGTCGTCCAGCGCAGCCAATGCCACCGCCTTGCGCAACCAGACGACGACGACCAAACCGGCGATCCTCCCCACGAGCAGCTCCCTCTTCAACAGCACCAGCAGCAGCCTCAACACCACCACCACGGCCACCAACACCACCACCTCGTCGAGCACGCGGTGCGGCGTCGTCGGCAGCTTCGTGACGCCGCCGAGCCACGCGACCAAGGCCGACAGCATCGACGAGTGCGCCGCCGCATGCCGCGCGCGCGGGCCGCTCTGCCGCGCCTTTGAAGCCGGCACCGTCGACGGCGACGGCAACAACTGCTGGCTGTTTGACCAGGGCCTGTCCGAGATGGAGCTGGGCGGCGCGCCCGACGGCTTCAGCTGGACCTTTTACGACCGCGACTGCGACGTCACCGCCCGCTGCGACCTCCAGGGCAGCTTCATCACCCGCCCCATTGACAGCCTCCGCCTCGCCACCCTCGGCGACTGCCAGGCCGCCTGCAAGGCAAACGCCGCCTGCAAGACCTTTGAGGCCGGCTCGCTCGACGGCAACGCCCACAACTGCTGGCTCTTTGACATCCCCGTCACCTCCCTCAACATGGGCGGCGCCTACACCGGCTGGCAGTGGTCCTTTTTCGACCGCGACTGCGTGCTTGCCCCGTAGATGTGGCATTGGGGTCGCTGGTATAGAGACCCGGGGGGGGCTTTTTTTTGTATGCAGCATAATGAGTTATTGATAGTATGAGCTACAAGGTCCGGTTAGACGGCTTGTTGTATATATGACTTTCATGTATACTGTTTTACCTCTTAGACACTGACCCGTGACCTAAAAGCAGTCCATTTGGCTTGCAAGTTGTCCACATGAAATGCGCTTTAGATGGTGAACCGCATAACATGTATTGTCGCCGTCGGTGCAATTAACATCCAAGTAGCAGCCATACGCGTGGATAAGAAAGTTAGCAATATAACCCTTTGGCATGTCAGCAACGGGCTTCAACCTGCCACGGCCCAGCCCACTGAGTCATTCTGGCGCGGCAACGAGGGATGGACGAGTCACACATTGTCTGTGTAGCCCAGCAACGCATTCCGATGCCTCCCCTCAAAAAGGAAGCGACTCTGAGCGAGCCCGTGTGCAATGAAACGCACAAGTGTTTTTTGACTCTGATTGCGCCGAGCTTTGGAATTCGGCGCGCCAGTCTCTCTCTCTCAATGGGTCTCTCGCGAAAACTGCCGCCAAGAACCCCTCCTTTTGTCAGGGAGATTCATCTCTTCCTCTTGAGTCCGTTCTGGCGCCCGTGCCGTGTCTCTCGTCGGCGAGACACGACATCCACTCATCGAATGGACGAGGCGGCCGCAGCGATTCCCTTTCCTCAGCTTGCACTGGTCCTCTTTGACAGGTTTGCTTCTTGGGCCTGTTATGCGAGCGCAATCGTCAGATTGGGTAGCCAAGCAAACAAATTCTGCGACGACGGATGACGTGGGCTTGGTCGTGGCCGGCTCGCGTGCGACGTCGAACAGGAAGAAGAGAGGCATTGTCGGTGCTGGAGAGGATTTGTTGTCAGTCGCCGGCCACAACGTAACATAAATGAAGAATGACGCACGTTGAAACAATGGCATCCAACACATTAACACACATCGGTCGTACAGCGTCCCACCAACCTCTCTCCCCATCTCCGTACTTTCAATGGCCAGCCCTTGGCCATCCCATCAGCGAGAACCGCCAGAAAACCTAGACAAAACTCGCGCAATCGGTTCCCAATAATCAGACGTTTATTTGGATTAGTTCCTATATCGTACAGTACACTACCACTTCTCCCCTTCTCCAGCCCAATGAACCAACCAAGTCCACTCAGGACAAAAAAAAGAAAGAGACGTAAACTAAGTTGAGAATCGCAAAAATGTCCGGGAAAACATCATCCAAATCAAAAAAAAAAAGAAAGAAAACAAGAAATTCGTTTCGGGCAACTTTTTTGTAAATGTTGTGCCCGAATCTCGTTGTGTGAGCAAGAGGGTTTTTCCGATTCCACAACTAGCGTTTTTTCTCCCAATAACGAAAAAAGCGAGAAAATTCCAGAAAAAAAAAAGGCCAAAATCCATCGCAATGATGAAATGGCAACAAGACAGAAAGGGGTTTTCGGTTTAAAATGCGATAAGTGGTGTCAAGAGATAAAGCGTCGTGGCTGAACAAGCAGTTCATCTTGAAAGAAAAATGACGCAGAAAGCGCCAGCACCCAGAAAAAAAGTCATAGAGCGCAATGCGCTCAGCAACATGTACGTCCTGCGTCTCAACGATAAATCTTCTTTGTTTTTCTGCTTTTTAATATGTTGAGGTCCAATGTGTATGTCGACAGGATAAGTCTGTCGGTAGTCAAAACTCCCTTCATGATATCACGCTTCCAGTGTTCCGATGTCGATGTCTGCAAAGTGTCGAAGCTCTTTTTTTTTGGGTGACGAGGAAAAAAAACAATTATATACCGTAAATGAACTTGGCCGAGGCTCGTCGAACGTCGCTCGGTGAAATGGTGAACACGAAAAAAGAAACAAAATCCCGAGAAAAACCAGCCAAGGTGTCGGGTTTCCAATGATGCTGTCTTCATTCAGACTCGGCAGCTCATGTAATCGATGCAATGACTCGGTTTGAAAAACAAGCCTGGTGCAAACGCCGTGGTCAACCTTTTTCCTCTTCAACTTTTGGTACCCAAGTTCTTGGGTCATAGTGTGTCCCTATTCAGAGCACGGGGCTCCGAATATCCACACTTTCTATCAAACCCGAAATTCACAAGCCTTGTTCGCTTTGACCATCATGCCAACAAAATATAGATGAAAATCTTGTTCAAGAGCCGCTGCGGGTATTTTGCAACTGGCTCAGCATGCTCGTTTTGCGATGCTGTCTGCACAGCATTCTATCGCAGGGCACAGTGTGGCCCGGCTGATCGCTCAAACGATTCTTACGCCTCGGCCCCGGCGTAGACACCGTTCTGCTTCTCGTGGGTGCCATTGACTGTTCCGTTGAGCTTGAGAGTCTGAAGAGCCCCAGCTGGCGCAAAGTCCGGCACGGCAGCAGAAAGCTGCGAACCCTTCTGGCTGTGTCCATTAATACCGTTGACGCCATTCATGGCGTGGTGATCGAAAAACTGCTGAAACTGCTCGTGTGGGGCAAATGGAGGTGGGGAGGGCATGCCATAAGGCATCTGCATGCCGTTATACTGAGGTGGCATGGGGTACGGTAGACGGCTTTTGAAGGAAAGCTTGACGGGGCCATGGTTTCTAGCCAAATCGTCGCGGTCCTCCAGCGGGAGGACAAAACTCTCCCAGCCCTCACTTCTGCGCACGCGCTCAACGTCGTCCTCGCCAACGACCAGGTCGATCTCCATGGACATTTCGCAGACCGTGCGAAGCATGCCAATGTCGGCCGACAACTCGCGAACGCGCTTAAAGGCGGCAATAAAGTGCAGGGGAACGAATCCCTGCGAGTCCATTCGTTGCCGGAGGTACATGTCCTTGCACAAGTTCTCAATGGAGAAGTAGTACTCAATCTGGTTCTTGAGAACGGGAACCATCATGTTGTCCCAGTATGGCTGAGGCTGGTAGGGCATGGCGCTCATAGGGGCCACAAGGTATTCATACGATGCAAACTGAGTCTGGACAGCAGGCATGCGGCCGCCGGGAAGCGACATGCGATGAAAGTTGGTAGCGCTGCCACGGCCACCGCGTCCCCTCTGCGTGGGGGGCACGAACATCTGACCGTGACCACCACGAGGTGGCGGGCTGTATGGACCCTGAGGACGGCCGGTGGCAGGGCCGTTGCCGTTGAAGGGGCCGGCGTGCTGGTGCTGAGTGTGTGAGCTGGTGTGGTGGCCGCCACGTCCCCGATATCCACCGCGGCCTCTGTCGGCACGACCTTCGGCACGTTCGCGGGGTGGTTGCGACTGCTCCTGCTGAAATGTATTAGCGGAGGCTGGATGGGGATGACGGGCCCGACGTACAACAGAAGCAGCGGGGGCGGCATCCTTGGCCTTTTCACTGGCAGTGCTGCCAGAAACCTTGCGTTGCTCACGGAGAGTGGCGACGTCAACGGACGCCCTCTTGCTCGGGGGCTGTGAGCCGGTGCGAGGAGCGCCGTTTGCCGTGCTCTGTCTTCTGTCGTTGGTCTTGGGGGCAGGGGCAACAGAGCCTGCCTTGTCGCCAGTCTGGGCGGGGGCGCTGGGGCGACCACCGTTGACATTGCGGGCACCACCACGAGGCTTGGTGTTACGCATCTGTGGTAATTGCGTCTCAAAGTTGACAGTGGGAACGTATTCATAGGTAACCCATTTCTCCTTGGTGCGGGGTTTGGCAGTGTCATCTTGAGTCTCCTTGGACTCGGGCTTGGTATCCTTCTTCTTGGTGTCCTTGTCTTCCTGGACAGCAATCTCGGGGGTAGGCCACAGCATGGCATCGTCGACGGGGGCGGGAGCTCGCTTTTGCCATCTCTGGTCTCTCTGTCGGCAACCCTGGTGCCACGGCTGGCACGCTCTGGGCGGGGAGCATCAACCTTGCGGGTGGTGGTCTTGTGGCCGTTGACGGCACCGGCGAAGTCGGTAACCTTGGGAGGCGGTTTGATGTCTTCCGAGGCAGCGGTGCTGCTGGCGTCATCCGGCCTGACAACCTTGGCGGCGGCGGCATCTCGACGCTGCTGCCAGATGTTGACGGAGGGAACGGGGGCCTCGGTCAGCTCAACCTTTGGCAGCTCCTCGTCGGCAGACTTGTCGCCCTTGTTCTTGCCCTTTCGGCGTTTCGAGTCGGCGTCGTCGGATCGAGTCGATGATGGGGCATCCCTGTCGTTTCTACGCCAGGGACGCTCTAATCTGCTCAGTTCATCATCCCTGCGGGCATCTGTACGTCTGGAAAGGACGGACTCGGAGCGGATATCGCTCTCGGAACCGACTGTGCTGGCGGCGTCGTGCTTGTCAGCAGAAGCGGCGTCGTGCTTTTCGGCAGATGCGGCAATTTTGGCATGACTGCCAGAGTCGGCGAGAGAGGCGTCATCCAGCGAGGTAGCGGCGGACGTAGGAACCGTGGAGAGCGAATCTGCGGCCTGGGAGGTAGACTGAGGTGATTCGGGATTGGAATTTTGGCCCTTTGCGGCCTGGGCATAGGAGAAAGCTGAAGCGGTAGCCATGATGACGGAAAAGATCTGCAACGGATGACCCGGCGGAGCTGAACTCGTCGCGGCAGAAGAGAGAAAAATCGGACAAGCTTGATAGAGCCTACGGGATGAGCGTAGGGGTATATCAAGGGGAAGGTTTGTCACGGGTCGTCGCCGACCAAGAGGATTCAATGATCTCCCGAGTGAGCAGAACCCTGGGGGTATCCGGCTCTCGATCGTCGACCAGGACAGGAAAGGCTATAGGGCCGAGGAAGTCGGCTCTGTCGCGGGGCCGTCAAAAGGACGAGGGGATGCGGGTTCAAAGGAGCAGGTGTCGATTGAAGCCGGCGTGAATTTTGGGAGATGCGAGGCAGAAATGCCACGAAAGGTTGAGGTCGCGCAGCAAACGGAAAAATAAGGGACAATGGCGTTGGTCGTGCGTCGGGCAACAAAACGGGTGCTACCAAACTGAACAACAAACAGATGCGAGGATGACCGAAGGCTTTGTTGTCTGTGGTCTCTGGTGAGAGTCAGGCGTCAAGCTGTGGACGGAGAGAAAAAAAAGGCCAAAACACGGGGGAAATGAAAACACGACCGAGGAGGGTAGAGACTGGAAAGGAACTCGATCTCGGCGGCGCTGAAGCTTTTTTGGGTTTATTTCTCGCTCTGCGGGTAGCAGGGGCGGCAGAAAAGTTGTGGAGAGGAAAAAAAGAAGCCAGGTGCGGTTTCCTGAGGTAGTCGAGGGGGTCGGGTCGCTCGAGCGGAAAACGGAAAACGGAAAGTATGAATTGTCGAAGCGCAAAGGCCGTTGGGACTAGGCAGTGATTTCCTCGCACGCGCGCACACACAAAGCTAGACGAAGATTGCTTGTCAGATGAGGTGTCGAATTGGCGTTGGCGATAGGGCAGAGGAGGACGGAGGGAGGAGGGGGGGGGAGGAATTGCGGACAAACAAGAGACGAGGGGAGAACGGGTGCGTCGGACAGGGCTAACGAGGGTTTAGGAAGTACCTGAGAGGAGAGGAAAGTTGACCTAGGCAACGAGCAGGCAGGCAGGCGAGTACTTGGACAAGCTGGGTTGAATAATTTTGCTGTGTGTGAAGTAATAAATTTTTCTGGGCTTGGGCTTGGGCTACCAATGTAGGTAGGTCGGTGGTAAAGCGGTCGTGGCCGGTGCCTGTTGAGTGGTACTGGAGTCCAGAGTCCAGAGTCCAGACTGTATTACCTGCCTTGGCCTTTGGGGGGGGTTTCCCCTCCACTGATGAGCCACTGTTTGTACCTCTGTCGGTACCCAGGTACCTTAGAAGTACGTAGGTGCCTAGTACAGATGCCTTAGTACTAATAGATGCGGTCGTGGTGGGCAGAGGAGCCAGTCGCAGACATTTTCAGAACACATGAGGATATGGTAGTTACATGTTCTGTCGTCTGTTTATATCCTGTCCTCTCTCTTCCTTCTTCTTGCGCACTCAAACATTCTGCGTCGCCTTCTCCCCCCATCTTCCTCTTCACCCACTTTCCCCAGCAGTGACTGCAACGCACCTAAACACGCCAGGTTACAGAAGCCTGCAGCCGGCGGCGTCTTCAAAGGCGGCGGGGCCCCAAGTCGTTGGGATTGGCCAGCCCGGTCTAGTTGCGCACCTTGGGGCAACACTACGGACACTACGGGCCACTTTCCATCCGCTGGGGCACTGCATTGCAAAGGGCCCTTTAATTATAGTCTTCAATTTCTTTCATTTTGGTTTTAAAGCGCTTGAATAGTATGGCAAGAATATACGTCCTGCTATCACTGACGAGAAGCATGGTGGATCGTTCCCCTCTCTGCATTTGCAACTCACGGGCCAGCATTGTCACTCGTGCTGGCTGTGTGGCTGTTGTCTGTTGTCTGTTGTCTGTTGTCTGTTGTCCCTCTGTCTTGCCCCAGGTACCACCGTCTTGCAGGCACGGCTTGCGCGAGACAAACAGTCACCTCCACTGCAGTCTTCAGCCCGCGCTGAACTCCTGCTGCCGTCTGGCAGATGCAGCGCCAAAAGCCTCCATGTACCCGGGTACTTGCGTTCTTACACCGTGGCTAGCGTTTCATCGTGGAGAGCTGCTTGTATCTGTACCTACGCGTTTCCCCCTCTTGCTTGCTGCTTTCCTACGCATCTTTCACAGCGGTGCCCGTCCGGAAATGGGTGGTGGGCTCGGTATGACGCATAATGCCAAATCAAACGAACTTTCTTCGGCCAGCCTGCATCATCGGGAGCCTGTAATCCTCTGGCTCTCCTCAAGCACTGTTGTGCAGTTACCAAAAGCCATCATTGGACCCTTTACTTATTCTGGCCAATTTTTTTCTATTAAATCAGAAAGCGCCCATTTGTGCTCTTTTGGTGTCCACACGCCGGCTCCACACTGTCCTGGATATCCGTCAACGTCGGTTGTGGGGAGCAAAAGCGTCCAAATTGAAAAAATGCTGCAGAAAAAACTCTTTTGCCAAACCATTACTCCGTAACTACCAGACACGGTTTTTTTTCTGGCAACCTGCGCGAATAACGCGCATACCTAACCCTGTCAGCGTGATGAGGGGGTAAAGCCTCATCTTGCCGTTGACTCTCACCACCGTCACACCCAACCAAGCCTTGGCCGCTTTCTTCATTAATACGAAGACGGGCACAAAAGACGAGAAAGGGCCCTAGTTACTATGCAAGCCACCCTTCCCTTCCCGTAGCTATGCCGAGCAACCCGCAACGAGACAAGAAAAAAAGTTCAGGGCAAAATGCTACCTACATATCACCCGGCCGGTGCCCTTCCAAAGCGGCAGCTGCTTTCTTCTACCCCGAGGTTCGCGGCTTAAAAGTACTATATGGCTTCCGGTTCCGATGTTCCCTAAAAAGTCCGTGGGATGGCGAGGCCTCCTCTTCGTCCTTCCTCCCCGCAGCTCCAACCATGCACCTGAGCGGAGGACAATACTGTAACTACCTAGCTACCGGTAGAGAAATAATAAAGAGCGTCCTGGTATGACAACGTACGAGGGTTGCCGGCCATATCCACCCCGAAAAGCTGAGGCATCCCGCCACCACCTCGAACCGCACCTCGCCAAAACCGCCACCACACACACTCAATACCCATTCTTCCTATTCTCCCATCCAGCCACATCATCAAGACAATTGCATCCGTGGCGTCAAGACATGGATCAATCAGGAAGGCCGTTGGGGGCTGGTTTGCTCTAGCGCCCTGGCCTCCGGGGTCGCGCCCAAGGACAAGGTGGCACTTTATGTAGTTATGTTCTTCGTACGCTTGGCCTAGACCAGGCCATTGCCCAGTCCATCAGGCGATGCGGCAAGGTTCGTGTCTCCTCGGCCTGGAAATCTCACTCTTGACATGCCACAAAGAGGGTGGTATGGTGACAAAACAAGGGCACACATACTAACTAGCTAGGGACCCTCCACTAAATTAATAAGGTAATGAAGATGAATGAATAATAGGAAACACACAGAGGGTAATAGCGGTTAAAGAAGAGTATGTGAATGGGGGGTATAACAAAGCATCAAGGTACAGTGCATACCTAGGTAGTTATGTGAAAGAGCACTTGTCTACTTAGTCACCCAGCCAAGTGCATGGCCAAACAAGTCAATCAATAGTCAGTGACTCTCTCCCCTCTGCCGGTGCTTTCTCTGCAGGTAATTAAACCCGCTCGCAGACAAATCCACAATAACCACAGCGGCCCGCGGCTATGAACCGAAGCCGACGTCATGGGGGGCGCCCCCCAACTACCTGTCTCTATGAACACGTTTGTGCCACCAAACAAGAAGCCAAAACACGGTGCCTTGACACGCTTCTCTGCGCCGTCGCTCATCGCAGCGAGATGCCCGTATGCGCAGCTCCCAGACAGGCAACCAAATCGGACCATTCACCTCCCTCGGATTTGCAAAGCATATCGTGGCTTTGTCGCTCACGGCGCAAGGTGGCGGGCGACCCGGGGCTTTGTGTGTGTGCCCACCCAGACAACAGAACATTGCGTCTGGGACAACACGGCCCTTGTCTTTTTATGCATATTTTGCTGCGCGCTTTGTCATTGCCGCCTATTTTTATCCTTTTCCTTGATCGTCTTTTTCTTCCCAAACCTCATGCAAGGCCCGCAGCTTGTCTGCCGTGCTTCCGTGAGGGCCGGCGTTGTCCCCCTTTTTTTCCCATGTGGTCGGTTTCTTTTGACGGGGGGGGGGGGGGGTTGAACGGGACGATGGGGGGCGAACACGGCCAACATCCCTGCGAGAGCATCTTTGACACCTTGTCCGAGTCCGACTCGGACGACGAGCGGCCTTTTCCCATCATCCACCATACCCTGGTAAAAAAAACAGTCGCGGTGCTGCTGGCTAACTACTCATTTCAGGCGCGCCCTTACTCAGCCCGTTGGCTTGGCTTCTTTTCCCTTGGCCGTCGTCCCAGCATTCGCGAGGCCGAAATGCTGGAAAACCCGTATGCGCATTGGACGAGGAGCTCATCAAGGCATTCGGTACAGAGGGGTCGCGTTGACACCAGACAGATTACGTTCAGGGACGGCGCAGACTTGTGGCCAGCAAGCGCCAGAAGCTCCATGACACGGCCGCATTGCCCTGTTGCTGCTCATCACCCGCGGCAAATGAGGTCCTGCGGATGAAACGTGTGGAAACGGGTGGGAATCAATCACTATGCGAGAGATGGGGTCTGGATAAGCGCGTGCGAGGCAGTCAGATGGATGGGCATCAGCTCAAGGAGACAGCGGGCCGCATTACGCTTTCTCGCGTGCTTCACAAGACCAGCTCGGTATTTCTCGAAACCGGAACAACCCGATAACAAAAGACCGAAAAGCCGCAGATGCGAGTAAGCTGAGCTGGTCCAAAGTCCACTACATCGCTGTTCTACCCACCAGTGTGGCGCGCGGGCCGTTTGCGCCGCGGAGATCTCGGCTCGGCCGGCCCCATTACGGATAACTTCGACTACTTCTCAAGACCAGCCCGCGCGTCCAAAACGGTGGCAATGCTGCAGAAAGAAGCCTGCAAACCTCCCGATGGGAGTAGGCTGAACAGGCCCAAGTCACTGCATCGTGCTCTACTCAGTTAGCAGCGCGGGCCGTTTGCATCATGCACATCGGGCCGCCCATGTGGGAAGCCGAAAAAGCACAAGTAGCCGTTATCACTGATGACCAGAAGACCCAAGTTTCGAAGAAACTCGCTGCTCTTCCCGTCGGGCCGGCGCCGTGTCTATTTGTGATTTGTGACGCCTTCATCCTCCCCCCGCGCGCGCAAAACGCAACGAGGCTCCGGATGACGTACGTGGCCGTAGCCGCAGCCAATCTATTCCCGTCTTCATCGGCATCGTAGCCTTGCCGTGTTCAATATTGTCCCAATATCCACAAAGTTGCCCTTCCAGGGGGGGGGGGGGGCAAAATCGTAAGGGGCTCATCGCGCAAAAAGTCGCCTCCCACTCGGCGGCTATCCCAACAAAAACTCTCTAAACAGCCGATCGCTGCATAGATGACGTGCATTAGCGATGCACAGGTTTCATACAACAGCCAGTGACTAGGGCTTGCTTTAAATAGTTTTTCGTAGAAAAAATTGGGTTGCAAACAAGGGTACTGGTCGGACCGGTTTCAGATATCGTAGCGTTTCACACGCACGATGCAATATCTCGTGCAACGCTATTGGTCCGGAAGTCACAACTCATAAAAGCTACGAGGCGGCTCCGACTTTTACGTTAGTTAATTTCTTTAACTTATGAGCGTCCATAAACTGCCGACTAGACTTTGCAACTCATCTATTTCTTCTTCTGTCATTTAGACTCTGTTGTCGTAGTGGCGGTGACAGCATCGTCACATCGGCCCAACTCTGATGCGCCGATCTCTTCACGATGTTCAACATCAGCGTGGGGGAATATTGTTAATAGCTCATCCCACTCAGTATAGTAGCATTCTAATTCCGCGGTGTAGCGTCGTTGTATTATATTATTCCTTTTGTAATCGTACACTATTCATTATAGCGTGAGCTTTTGGTACAGATTTGAGCGCACAACCCCATATGCCAAGAAGTGCTCCTCCTATCAGTTCTCAGAAAAGAGAAGACTAGCCGGTATTGGATGAGTATGAGAGATTCGACAGCTTGGACTGCCAGGTGCTGGGTTGCAGTGCAGTTAGCCACTCATCCAAGATGCCGCTTGCCGTGCACCAAACGTCGTCGCCATGCGCAGACCAGTTGAGCCCATGGGAAAGTAGCTGACAAGATACCAAGCAAGGGCGGCGAGCTGGACAAGGGCTGACAGCAGTGTAAGAAGCGTGTTTTGTAGCTGCACGAGTTAGCATGAGCGCTTTACACACGGGGTCATGTGCTCACTTTTATGGCGAAGACCAACGTCATTATAATGGATCCAAAATAGGCCGCAGTAAAGGGCAGTCTGGGCGTCGACAAAAGGTGATAGATGTAGTTCATGGGGCCCATGACAGCCGCAAAGGACGCCAGAAATAGGCCAGAACCCACAGTCCATCTGCACAAGTTAGCGTGCGAGATACAGTCCATGTTAACGGGAGCAGGGTAAGAGAGCTATGACGTGCATGGCCCACGCGCAAGGCCGGTGAGCTACCCGACAAGGCATCAAGGGGGGTCGGTCGTCTACGAGACAGGCCGGCAGACAAAGCGAGTGGTTGAGGCAGAGCAACTTCTCAGATGGGCATGGCTGCAAGCGCCGGAGTAGATACAGGAAGTAGGTAAGGGTCAAGTGCCGAAAGGCGACAGGGACTTACAATAGGACAAACTTGCGCGGGCGAGTGGCGACGATGGGAAAGAGCGTGAAGCATATGACGAAGCATGCTAGGGCGGCAATGTTGCAAGCAGCAAAGACCAAGAGTCTGTCCCAGCGACTGACTATAACGTAAAGAGTTAGTTGCGACAAGCCACGAGGCGTCCCATCTGCATCACATGCAGAAATCGCGGGAGGTGGAGGGGGGCTAGGCAGAGGAAAGGCAGAACAAGCTGCAGTCCCGCCTGCAAGGGCATGTATGTGTGGCGGATGCGCAGGCACCGGACAACCCGGAGCCATGACAAGATTTTACTCACGGATAAACCACCCCTCCTCTTCCTCGCGACGAGTTGGAGCAGGTAGAGGCGCGCCGGGCGACGCTTCATGTGTGGGCAGCTGCAAATATCCGCGATCCTGAAAGGGGTTCAGGTTTTGGATGCTGGAGAAGAACCCAGTCTCCCTGGACGTATTGACGGGTTCTTCGGTGGCGCGCGACCAGCCCAGGGAGTTTATCGAGTCTCGGAACGATGAGGTAGCCATGGTAGCGGTCGAGGTGGACACCCGGAGACGGTGGGAGCGGTACGGCTACTGGCGAGACGATCGACGTAACCGGTGACTTGCTTTGCAACAATGAGGGGCACCTTTTGGACTCTGTCGCAAGGAAACCAGTCGAACAAGGCCGAGAGAGGAGCGAGATGGGGGGGCAAGCCGAGTCGTGGAGGGGGTGCGTGTGTCGATACGAGCTATTTGTTTGGTCAGTCAGAGGGGCGAGACGGTTATAGAGTTGTAGAGGGTTGGTTGTGGTTAAAGGCAGAAGAGGAAAGGGAAGGGTGGTAGGCGTTGCGTAGCCGGCCGCGCAACAGGATGAAACGTTTAGGCAGCCAAGGCGGCGCAGCGTGGCATCGCGAGGGCGACCGCGCGTCGGTTGCTAAGGACAGAAGGCGACAGGAAGTGCGATTCAAGGAAGCCGAGCAGCGATGGGCGGAAGAGGACGGGAGCGGTGGAGCAGGTGTCTCGCCAGACGGGAGGAAAGGCCCGGACGGTGGTGGAGTAGGGTGTGAGGGATGATGGCAGATGGCAAGCGGAGCATGGGAAAGGGAGAGATGGACGCACATGGGGAGGCCTTGGTCGCGGCAAGAGAAAGTCGATAACTATGGATGAAGAGATACGAAGTCAAGCTCCTGAGATGGTGTGCAAAAGGCGAGCCAGAGAGGAGGTGGCACATGATTGGCAGATGCGGGTCGGATGTTACGGTAGAGGCACTTGTGTGGGCGACTTGAACTGGTTTGGGGCCGCTAAACACGGCTAACGACAGCCAAGGGACCGCTAGAGACGGATAGCTGGGGGGGCACTGCAAGTCACATTGGAAGGCCGGGACTTGCAGCAGGTCCCATGCAGATGGTCGAAAGCCTAGAGTTGACAGAGTTGACAGGACAAGGGCAGGGACACGGCGAGGAATCGTATTTTTGGCTTTGCTATCATGACCATGCGCCGCGACCTAGCGGCACAATAGCGCAATGGTGGCGGGTGACTGTGGCGATGCTAACGATTCCTGTGGCTAGTGCTAGACATACCCGACGAATAGACAATAGACAGCACTCCGACGAAGGGCTCAGAACAAAGCACACAGACTTGAACCAACTCGACCAGCCAGGTGAGCAAGTTCACATGCAATCCAACAACGTAGACTAAAGTAGGCTCCACTGCGGCCGCTTGTTCTACCTGTTACATGTCTGCCTCTTGACGGAGCACAATGGCAGGCGTAAACCATGTACTGCGATTCGCCCATGCACGATTGTGGAAATGCCAGTTTTGGCTCCGGACCATGCAGGCCATGGGAACGGGTTGAGAAACCAGCCATGGATCGACGCGATGGGTGGTGTTACGAGCAAGGAAAGGCTATCCTGATGAGCCTGATGAGCCGACTGGGGTGCTTGTACAAGCCTGAACTAGGCGTACACTTGGCCGAGATGCGATACGAAAGAAGGAAACAACGACTTGCGCAAGTTTCAAGTCTCTGAGGCCTCCCTCATGGCTCTGCCTAACTACCCTCTCTTTCTCCCTTTCGGTTTTTGTCAAAGAAACCCATCTTCTCTTCTCTTCTCTTCTCTTCTCTTCTCTCT